CTCTATTATCAATGAAGACAATGTGGCTATATCAAAATATAATAAACAAAATCTCAACTTGATCAATACATCAATCACACCACAATGATCATATTCGAGTATTCCGGGGATCCCAAGACAAGTAAATTTGGTCATTTGAACATTGTCCTCCAATGATCAAGACTTATATAGCTTTGCTTTGGCTGTTGTCATATGATTCAAAAATCCAAATTCTGCAACCTCCATCAAACCTAAAGTAATCGTAGTTACAAAAATTAGCCTAACGCGTCAGTAACACCGATTACTTAGCCAAATCCAATAGCAATGTGATCCAATTCCAAACATCTTTGTGATGAAGACTTTATCGTTTGGTAACTTTGTATAGTGAAAAATGTTTTTGGGACTTCCATAATTCAATTAAGTTGACAAATTATCACCTGCATTTACAAATGAATAAATATAAGGATTATCACTTGCATAAATCCTATCTTGAGGACAAGGCTTCATCTTCTACGATGTGTGTAAGCAGCAAAGGTGAATGCTCAGAACCAGCACCAGTTTTGGTTCCATCCTCTCTTGCTTTGCCCCACATCACAGTGTAGAGTCCAAAGCACAATATCACTGATCCAATGATACTGCCCACAACACATATATCGCGAAAACTATATCAGTTATTACTATCTCAACAGGATATTGCAGTTATACAGCTTTATACCATGGAACAGTGAAGACAATGTGTTTCTCACAAGTGAAAGTGATACAGAAGAAACCATATATGAGAGCTCATGTAGATTATAATCAAGAAACAATATCATTTCTCCAAATGTGATTCCAAAAGATACATGATACTAAGAATTTCAACAACCTAGAGTTGAATTTTATGTTCTGAACGCGATGGAAATGAAGAAAATTAAAGATATGGTACCTCCCAAGATGAAGGGCATCACCGAGGAATATAGCACCCATGGCGACTGCAATTGCAATAGACAATGGCCTAAACAAGGATATATAGACCGGACCCTTAAGATGAAGACCCCATGTGTGGGCAACTGCGCTGAGCGATGTAACGAAGAGTCCCTAAAAAAGCATTAAATCTGAGCTTAAACCATCATCAGTAATGGAAGCAGATTATAAGATTTTGATTCTCACCGAGTATATAATTGCAGCGAGGGAAATATCCGGTTTAAGCACCCAAGAAGTCAAGTTGCTTTCCGCAAAGAAACATACTGGTACTGAGATTAGTGTTGCAAATAAGTTGTAGAAGAAGACTACTGTTATTTCTTCAGGGTATACCTCCATGACCCGAGTCTGAAAACCATATATAGCTACGAATTTAGCAAAGAGTCTTATGTGTCAACAACAACCCAAAGTCTTTTTGATGAACTTTTGAAGTGTTTGTACCTGAACAATATACCAGACTGATAAAAAAAAATATTTTGAAGCAAGCAAAAGGCCTCCGATTATCCAGCTTGGCTCGGATGAAGTCAGATTCTGGTGAAGCGAAATGGTATGTGATGAAGGTGTAAAAAATGCAGCAGCAAGAACTTTTGGGCCTTTATATAGCAGAACAACCAGAGCACCAGATATAGATAGTATTGCGCCAATGATTTTAGCCTGAGTAGCATAGCTCCTTAACACTACTTGTTCCATCCTTTACGAGTCACACAAGGAAACAGAACCCTCATATCCACCCAACTTTTTTTCAGAAAAATATGGGGCCACAAGATTTATAGCCAACCACAAGGTTGTACGTACTAGTATTAGTAGCTATTCTGTAACCACTAGTACAAATACTTGGTAATGTTAAATAGCATGAGAACAAGGTGGAACCTGAAGATAACGGCGAGTGTGAAGGTAAAAGCTGGCGTGAGATTGCTCAAAGCAGAGGCAAGAGTTGGAGATGTATATTTTATACCTACAGAACCAGATAGCTGCGCCATGAACCTGTTTTACCCAAAAGCCCAAGTTAACAAAAACTAGAAAAAACAAAAGTCAGAAATCCCAGGCAAGAGTATATTATTACCCGAGAAGCCCAAGTAAGAAAATCTTGAAGAAGAGAAGAGACTTAGCTGCAGGTAATCTTTTCGATCTGCATATATGTAAAAATAAGTTCTTGAAAAAGTATACACAACTGAACAAAGAGTAGTCTGAGGAGATCAAGAACCTTCCAAAGATGAGGCAAATTGGAAGAAGGAGAAGCGTTGAAACGACATAAGAGTAGGTGACAAAGACATAGAAGTTCAATCCTCTTAAAGCAGCAGCCTTGTAGAGTGTGTATGACCCAATCATAGTACACTCCACCGTGACCATTGCAGCAAACGGCACAACATCTCTCCTAAAGTATCTCCAAGCCACTGTCTCTTCTTCTCCAGCTCCTCTCATGGTAGATTTGTGATCCATATTCTCATGGTGTTGGTTGTTACTTTAAACCACTTGCTCCAAGCTCATTACTTTATTCAGAACCAAACAACACAT